ATAATTCTGCCAAGCTTCTTTTTTGGTTACTGTATTAAAACCTCTAACATTGTGTGTACAGATATTTAAATATAGGTCTCATAAAAGTTGTGTTGATGTAAATACTTGTAGTGTTGTATGCTCATTAAAAAATAAGTTGAATAAAATAGAGTAAAATTAGAGGTGTTTGATCTAAGAGGTAGGTTATAAAAAATTAAAAAAAGATGAGAATAAATAATAGTATGATTGGATAAAAGTGAGTTATTTGGAAGGTATATATAAGTTCCATAATAGGTGTTGCTGATAAAAAAGATAATGCTAAGAACAGTGTTATTATAGTTATGTTTATCAATATGTTGTATAAGAGATTAAATAGTTTGACCATGTAAGAGAAGTGATAAGTTGTAATAAAGAAGAAATTTGTTAAAACATGTATGAAGATCATAGAGATTTAAAGATGTTAATAATGATCTTTTAAGTTTGTCTTTTACAGGGTCAATCATTATATGCTTGGCTCTCACAGCTATGCAAGGTACTATAGTCTACCTTGTACATTAGGTCAGACCATCATAATCCTGGCCTTTCACATAAGTAGACTTTACTGCCTGCCTACTTATATTATTTTTCTTATTAACTACTATGATTGTGTCATTTAATAAAATGGCAGCTGCATTTATAGGTTTTGTAAAAGACAAGTTTATTAAAAAAGAGTTTGTTTTTTTTTTTAAGAAAAATGACTCTGAAATAGAAGTTGGTATTTCAAATTTAATGTTGAATTTTTCATGTAAAATTGTTTTAGTTTTTGGTAAAGCTTTTTCTTTATAAAATTTAGTTATTGTAAAGTAGTTAGAAGATTCATTGTGAGTACAATCAAAGTATATAATAGCATATGCAAGAAAGTTAGTGTTAATAAGTTTGAAGAATTTCTTAAAACAGTGTTCTAACCCTAATTAAGCCAGATCTGCATCAAAAATCATAAACCTAATGCATCATAACTAGAGATAGACATTATGCACATGGATGCATGCATGCAATCATGCATGTGCATAATATATATAACTGCTCTAGCATACTGCCTTAGAAATTTTTGCTGGCCAATTAAACTTTGAGATTAGCTGTAACACAAAAGAAACTTTATTTTTATATACCAACAAAAAGTTTTTTTTTTTGAGAATTTAATATTAATAAAATTATTTTTCAGCCTAATCTAATGGTAAAATATACTCTAATCTAGCAGCAAAAATGTTTTTAAATAAATTTATTTAGGTTGGTAGCACTAGAACTTAAGATCAAAATTCCTATATCAATAACTAATATTTTATGATAAAACCATCAAAAAAATTATATTCTGGATGATAAGATCTATAGATAATATATCTTAGAAGAACATTTATATAATTGGTTAATTTGAATAAATTACCTTGGGTAGTTAATTATATATTTAAATTTTAACTTTAATAAAGCACTTATATTTCTGTGCAAAACAATCCTAAAGGTACTTAAAAATTCAGTGATTATTTATACCAATTATTTAATTCTTTTGATTTATTTGTTCAATTTAATGTAAATTATAAAACACTATAACTAATATAATTAATACTTTATTATGAAACATTTAATTTACTAATTCTTATACAAGTTTAGAACATGGGTTTATATTTCTTCTGGATTACATAATTTTTATCATCCATTATACAATAGAACAAGATAATCAAAATATTCAATATAAGTTTAAAATGCTTAATTGACTTATTTAATTTCTTATAATACTTACTATTATATCTTTTTCACTTATTGGGCAAAACAATTTACAAATTTGGGATCATGTTATTGAATAGGAAATTGTTCAAAATTTAATCTGCCATCTGATTTTTAAAAACTGGTTACAAGGATTATTTTACAAAATTTTTTTTCATATCTATTATTTTTAAAAAATTTGAAATATTTAATACTTTTAAAGTGACAATTGTTGAAGAATTCTTGAAATAACTAGATAGAATTATGTAACAAGCAATAAGTAGTCATAAACTTATATATCTGTTTAAAATTTCTTATCTGGATAGGTCTACAAAACATAGATTAAAAATTTAGCTTTTTGATACATCTAGTATATATTTGTTTTTGTGCAAAGCAGTGTTACTATGCTAGTAGCCAATTAAAAATTTTTTTAAAAAAAATCTTAAAACTTTTGAACAGAAGTTCTTTTTTTCTTTCTAAAAGATGTCTGATCCAATATGAATTTATTTTATTCAACTAGAACATGTAGTTGGATTCAAACAAAAAAAAAGAAAATGTAAATATTGTAAGAGTCAAATTAATGATGCTCTTAGAGCTGCACATACACATTTTCAAAACTGTAATTTAGTTACATTAAAGCAAAAAAAAAATTATTTTGGAGATTCATATAAAGATGAAAATGATAGTAATATATCTATAAATATACCTGATACTTCTAGTCTAGTTGTATTAACATCTGAATCCACTTTAGTTGCATCTACTGGTACTTCTACTTTTATTGCATCAACTTCATCTATGTCTAATAAAAAAGTATCTACTAAAAATACAAGTAAAATCTGAATTACAAATTATATTACATCTGATTATATATCTAAAATAGAACAAAAATTACTTGAATTAGAATTTGCACAGTAAACATTTTAGTGTAGTTTATTTTTATCTTTATCTGAAATAAAACTAATCAAAAAATTGTAGAAACGAGCATGGCCTGCATTTAAATTGGCTAGCTATAAAAAACTTTCAACAAACTTATTAGATAATATCTATAATAAAACCAAAAAAAAATGTTAAGATCTTGATTAATAATAGCAAAAACCTGTGTCTTGTATCAGATGGATGGTCCAATTTAGTATAAGAGCATTGGACTAACTACATTTTGACAACACCTAAACCTGTATATTATACAGCTTATCTAATAAACAAAATACATCAAGATGGTGAAACAATCACTTATAATTTGAAGAAAATCATAACTAAAGTAGGTATTTCAAAAATTTCAGCAATTATTATGAACAATACATCTGTAATAAAAAAGGCATAATGATTGTTAGAGGTAGATTATTCTGAAATTCTATTTTTAGGTTGCATTGCATACAGCTTAAATCTTTTAGTTAGTGATATAATAAAATTATCATGGAGTGCAAATATATTTAAAAAAGCCAAAATAATAGTTATATATTTTCAAAAACATCAAATTCTAAAGGCTATATTAAAATGATACCAATTAGCTTCATATAATTAACAAATATCTCTTAAATATTTAGTTAAAACATGTTGGAAATCTTTAACAACATGTCTTAATTCACTTGTTCAAAACCAACTTGCACTTAAATTAACTATAACTGAGTTAGCTCATGATAATTCTATTGCAATACCTAATGCTATTAATGAAGCTATAAATAATAAAAATTTTTGAAAGAATATTAAGTTTTTACTAATAGTATTAGATAAGTTAGTTGCAGGTATTTCTACTTTTGAGTCTGACATACCAAAATTATCATTATTTTATCATTGGTATCATGAGCAATTGGAGTCTGATGATAAACAAATTGTATATAAACTATACTTATTTTTTTTTTATAGTAAATATGGATTATATAACAGTTGTTATATGCCAAATAGACTCAAACAAAGCAGGGCACAAAATCTATTATAAAATTTCAGAGATTTTTGTTTTGTTATGACAATTTCCATCTTGAGTTTTTATCAGTCAGAAAATTTCTGAATATGATATTATATATATATATATATAAATATTAATAAATATTACAATATCTTTATTAAAAAACTGCTACATCCAACTGAATTTTCTAAGTTCTAGTTAAAATAAACATTGCTAGAGAAAAAGCAACTTCTGGCATTCAGAAATTTTATGCCCTGACACAAATTTATGCTATAACAGAAAAAGAAAAATAAATCTATTATTGGATGTTTCACATCCAATAACAGTGTATCTGACTTTGAATTTAATGTGCTTAACAACTTGAGCCCTTTCAGGGCCCAAATTAGCACATTCTGGCAGATCAGTAAAATTGGCCCTATTTTAAATTAATCATTTTAAGGGTAATAGATTAATAACAAATTATACAAATATTAGTTAATATATTAGTGAATGATATATTTTATGATAAAAAAATGAAATAATAATCAATAATATTCAATTATTCAAATATTTAAATATTTTGAATATCAGTAAATTTAGAGTTCAAATTTAGTCTCTAAATAAAGATCCAATTCTGCCAATCTGCTAGAAGGATTAAATTTAAAGCCAGATACTTCTTTTATTTGTTATTCAAAATAATTATAGCATTATTTACTCTATTACTAATTTAACATTTTTGTTTTAGTTTATATTTTTTCTGTAATAGGCACTAGGATTAAAACATTATTAAAAAACTAGTAAAAAAAAATATATTAATCTGTAATGTTAGTAGTACATTTATTAGATCCACAATACTGTAAGAGAAAACTTCCAGCCAATGGTATGTCAACTATTTCAATATTTATTAAAAAATATTATTTGAAGAAGCAAATATCATTTGGCAACAATTACTTCAGTATAAAACTCAAACTGGAATATTTAATTTGAGTTTAGCTTGGAATGCAGTAGATGATATAGATTCAGTTGCCTGGTAGAAGGGAAATTTTAAAGAATCATCACCTGAATTATGTAAGGTTGCATCTAGAATTCTTACTATTCTATCATCCTTAGCTGCTGCTGAATAAAATTGGTCAAATTTTTTCTATATTTATAAAAAAAAAAGAAATCAATTAATACCACAATGACTATTAAAACTTGTATATATATATAGTAATTATAAACTTATATGCATGAAGTTAGAATCTCCTGATATAGCAGAGACAGTAGTACATTTTAACAGTAAACCTAGCAGTGAAAATAATCAATTTGAATTATTGAATTCCAGTAGTAATAATGATGAGAGTAGTGGAACTGAATTAATAGATGATGATGAGAATAAAATTGTGAAATCATCTGAATCAGAATTGGAATTAATAACTGAAAGTGATATAGACAGTAAAAGCGAATAAATGAACATTTCAAAATACTAACTCATTGGAATGAGAACAATTAGTGAATAAAATAAATAGTATAAAATATAAACAAAAAATTTACAATAAAATTGAAGCTAAAGAAACAAAAAAAAAACATTGCATTGAATTGAGTTTAAAGAAATAATTATAAGGTGTTTATTAATATGCTAAAATGACAGAATTAGGTTTATCTGTTAAGACAAAAAACATTAGTAAAATTAATATACTAAAATGGCAGAATTAGGTTTATCTGTTTAGACAAAAAACATTAGCGAAATTAATATTAGAGTTAAAAGAATAAACAAAAGTATTTACTATAAAAATAGGAATTGCTAGCATGAATTGGAGTTAAAAAATATATATTAATATTTATGATTTAGAAAACATAAATCTTCATTGATCAAGCTGGGGTCTAAAAGACGAGAATAAGACAAAATTGGAGTTTAAAAAAATAAGCACCTAAAAGCATTGATAAATTTGTCAAAAAAATGAAATATAAGGTGCTCATTAATATCAAAGCTCTATCATTTGTTTGATAACTAATAGAATTATGCAATAAAGGCCTTGTGCCTAGTATATATGAGCTTGGTAAAAAGTTTTTACTAATATAAAAATTTATAAATTTTGATACATATACACTTTAATTTTCAAAAAAAATTTTTATATGATAATTAAATTAGATATATAAATGCAATACATAAATAAATTTATTACTAATTGGAATCATTTATTTAGCAATTGGAATCATATAAATTTTTTTTTTACTATTAATTTAGTAAGCACCGATACCATGCTAGCTAATGACCAATATATAATATCTAAAGCTATAATTTTAACTGTTAAATTAATGTAGAGCTAGTGTATAGTCAGGGTTTGCAATAGAGTCAATAGAGCTCAAAAAACTAGTATCGATTGGCTTCATTCAAAGCTCTATTGGCTTCATTCGCAGCTTCATTGGACTTTCTGCGTATAGCGCTGCATATAGTACTATTTGTAAACAAATAAGTAAATCAATTTTTTAAAATATTATTTATTATTTATATAATTATATAACAACAAATACGTAATTTTTAATTTTTCACTAAATAAAAAATCATGTCATGCTAGGTACTATATACATTGCTATAAGGTAAACTCAGAATTAGAGAAAGTATTTTATAAATAAATTGCTTTAACATTTTTTTATTTATATTTATGCATTTTTTATATAAAAATAGATTTTTAGCTATGTTGCATATAACATGTATGCATGCAGCATACTATGCACATGCATTATATGAAAAAGTACCATTTTGCCTGTCTCTAATCATGACTAGTGATGCGGTAAAATCGTCCTAATAATAGTTGTCACATTACCATAACTTGCCATAACTATAGCTAGTAATATAGTAAGTTATGTCTATAAGACTGTAACTTATTATATTACTTACTATAGTTATAATAAGTTACAGTAATGTGATGACTATCATTGGGATGATTCTATCACATTACTAATCATGACATGTAGACATACCAGATACAGAGTTTGTACAATATGCAATATAGAGTATGGTTTATAGACATCTGAAATGATTGTCTCTTTTTTATCTGATTGGTTATTATAATCTTGTGACTTCATCTTGTGATTTTTAGATTTTTATCTATAAGCTTTTGTCTATTAACATATAATAATAAAAAAAAAAATGTGAATTAGATGTTTGTAATTAGATAATTATCCTTTTTAGCTTATTGAATAATATTAATTTCTCTATTTATTATCTTGGCTTTTAACCTCATCATACATTTATTAAATTGTTCTTGATTTTACCCATTTTTGTTCTCTGTTCTGACCGTATCATTTTATCGTATGAAAGCAAAATGGTTAGTACTAAGATGTCTGCATAATTTCATATACTTTTAAGAAGTTAAATATGATGTTTAGTAACTTATACAAATGTTGTTTCAAAAAAAAAGAGGCTCAATCTTAATTGCATTGGATAAATTATAATAATTCTTAAATTAATTAGAATTGTACTATAGTTAAAACTCTCTAAGTAACTTTTATAAAGACACAACATTTATAAGAGACACTTGGGGAATAATAAAAAGTGCTTATTAAGATAAAGTATATATTTAAGCTAGGATTTAAAAGTGCATTTAGAGAGATTGCATAATTAGAGGCTCATTGCAATAAATATTTAGCCATAATTAAATTTTAATCGAATCTATATACTGTTAGAATATGCTATATGTTTTATCGAAAAAATGATAAATTTCATCTAACTGTATTCATTCATTTTAGCTATTCTAAGTTCAATACTTCAAAGGTATGTATTT